TAGTCAATCAACATATTCTGATCACACGGTGTGGGTAAAAAGTGTTCCCTAATTCATAATAATTATATCCTACGTACCTGAACAACCAATATTTAAAAGGAGACAACCGTATAGGATCTTTTTTAGCGAAAATAAAAGATATTTAGAAACATTTTACTACAATGTCTTCACACAATTTAAACAAAAACACACACACGTCAGCCGTATCTTACGTTTGATATTAACCTATTCATTCGGTTTACGTAATGTAATATTCCGGTAAACGGAGCTTCTATTGGAATACGTCCAAAATTGTGCGCAGACGCAAAACTCCAGACGCGGTTTATGACAAAGTTGATCTTGGCAATACTTTTCACGTATATTTTGGTGTTTAAAACAAAGTGTTAAATTTAGATTTTGTCATCTGAGAACGTATTTTTATGTCTTGCATTTTTTTTTGGCCCGCTTTGTAATCTAAGTTTTGAATGAGAATACAAACTTTAATGTATAAAACCCCGTGACACGATTTTAGTTCATGCTAATCTCCGAAACTGGTCAACCGATTTTGTTATTGAAATTTTGTAAATTTTTTGCTACAACTTGGGAGATAGAATAGTTTTTAACCTAATAACTTTTTTTTTTTTATACAACTTAGAATGGCAAACAAGCTGACGGCCCACCTGATGGAAAGTGGTAACCGTCACCTATAGACATGAGCAGTACCATGGACATAACAGAGTATACTGTTTCGCCCATGATACCCCCCATGCGTTGCCATTCCTGAGGACTCAGGTGTTATTCCTCTGTAACCTGTAAATTCACGCCATATCCCACCCTTCAAACCGAACACAGCCATGCAAACACAACTGCTTCACGGTAGAAACACGGATGGGACAGAGGTACCCAAGCAATCGACTTTTGTACAAAGTCTCCCTCTGGAACTTACTTGTTATAAATTACCACATAAGATGGATAAAGCAACTGACATTTTTAGCAACAGCATTCAGCCTGTCTGTTGGTAAATGGTCAATGTAGCCTATGGATGCCTACAACACTAGGGGTGTCATGTATAATTCGTTCAAACAGAAACATTAATACATGCTTTTTGAAGAACCACAGCCTGAGCGTTCGCGGAAAAAAATTCCTCTGAAATTGCACTGTACGCGACCATTTACGATCTTCTTCTTTTTTTCCATTTAAGAGCTTCCTCTTGTCGGTGCAACTAATTCATGCATCTTCTTCCAGCCAGCTCTATCCCAGGCTATATCCTAGACCTCCCTATACGACATCACACCTAGTGTTTTTTTTACCTGTCCCATGTAGTTCCTCGGTCTTCCTCTTCCTCTTCCTCTTTTGCCCTATATTTTTCCTTCTACTATGCTCTTAAAAAAATCGTCATGCCGTATAAGACGGCCTAGCATTTTGCCTCTTTTATTCTCTATTATTTTAATTAATGTTCTTTTCTCGTTCACTCTTTTCAGGATTTAGGATATAGCGTGTAAAAATAAAATCCATGTCGATGGCAAGCGGTGCAATGATAAAAAGTGACTATGGGCATTATTTCAAACAATTTCTCAGAACACAATGCGTCATACAAGTGTTTAAAGGTGCTGCTTACTGTATTTTTTGTAAATATGTTATTAAAAATGTAATTTACTCAATCGAATGAAACCCCGAGTGTTATAATTTTCCCATAGTAATAAAATTATTATGTCGATGTGTTTACCGAAATCTACCATATCATTTCATGACACCACATTAATAAAATGCTTATATATATAGTTACACGACTAAAAGAATAGACATTTGTTTGATCTTTAAATGTGTAGCTCTGAGATATGTACTCAGTGGTTTAAGTATACTCGTATAATTCTGTATAAATTATATTTGCATAAAACAAAAAATTGTTTTACACTTAAATTTGTAGAAGCGAAAGAGGTTTGTTTGAATCGAAGCATTTAGCGTTCCATTGTTTCTGCCTACCCTAATGGGAGACAGGCGTGACAGATATGTATGTATGTATGTATTAAATTTGTTTCTGGTTGTTTGATTAGAATTATTTTGTTTAATTCCGCTACCATTAGTATGTGTGTGACTGCCAACACTCAAATATTTTCCACCATCATCACCACCAAAAGTTCTACAAACTTGCATTTAACCACTCAATCTCCGACAGCAATTTCATCCACGCACGTTTTGCGACACGTGTTCACCTCTAACCGAATTAAACAAAATAATTCTAATAAAAAAGCAATGATATGAATTTAAGCAAGATAATACCTATTTCAATAAAATAAATTTATTTATATAGAGTCATTTCTGAGTTTCATGCGGGGTCTTCTAAGCAAATAATAACATTCCGATCCCACCGATAGAACCATAAATAAGGGATGATTTAAATGGCCTTGTAAACAAGTTTAAAATTAGTTTTATTCTATTCTGTATATAGTCTGTCGCCATGGAGTATGAACAATATGCCGTCTTTAATTAACAGTTCGTACAACACTAATTATAAAGGAATTCTATTAATTCTGTCATTAGCAGTGCATGAATAGATTCAAGGTTCTTCAAATGGTTCAGAATTCCTCCAGTGTTGTCGCTCAGACGTAAAACTTGCCTATTAAATAAACTTATTATAGATAATTGCAGAAAAATATACTCTATAATATTTAATATAGGGTCTATTTTTTGTCGGTACTACATTTAAACATTCTGGGCAAATACAGGGATAATATGATCCATAAATGAAATCAACAGAAAAAGGAATGTTCTACTCTCAACCATAGCCGTTATATGTTGGCTCATTTTTTTTCATGTTTATTATGATTAGTGGTTTATAAAGAGATGTCTAAAACTCCACCTATACTTGGGGGAAAGGAATCCCTTTCCCCCAATTAGCAATGGAGTTTGACAGCCCCATTGCTAGCAATATGCCCTATTAGGTCGACCTCCACGTGGATTCCCCTGGAAACCACCGTGAACAATTCTTGTTAAATTCGTCACGCTGGACTAACTGACCTTCTTCATCCTCACCTATCATCCTTCACTGGAGCCTCGCCGGTGTATACTAATAGCGCGGGTGGGGTTGCCATTCCATTGTCACCCATTAAAAAAAAAAAACTCCACCTATACATATGTGTATATTTATTTATTCAAACTTTAATGCACAGTGAAATTTTATGTACATTTGGCGGACAGTGTTTTTTTTTTTTTTTTTATTTAATTATCATACATAAATGCATTAATAAAAATTGGATTGGTGTTCTCTACCAGTCATCCATTGGGCAAACACAGAAATAGGTAGGCATTATCAAAATTGAGAAAATATTAAGTAATACTTAATATATTTATATATTATAAACATATAAATAGACTAATACAAACATACATATAATATGTTAAATAAATAAATACGTATAATAAATATATAAATATTAGTATAACAAAGAATTAACTGTATTAGAAAAACAAATGAAACAATCTATGACTCAGAGTAACCAGCAAAGTTTAAAGAGAAACAGAGATGAGAGAAAATTTTGTATATTCTTTATTCCTTATTGTACACAAAAAGCTATCGAAATAGAGAAAACAAACATAATAGTACACAAAGGCGAACTTATTTCCAAAAGAGATTTCTTCCAGCAAACCCAATATGAGAAAAACTGAGAGTTTATTAGTAGTTACAGTCATACATGTGTACCAATCGACTTAAATGTTATAGTTAAAAATTAATAAATATTAATATATATATATATATATATATATATATATATATATATATATATATATATATATATATATATATATGTGTGTGTGTGTATGTGTGTGTGTGTGTGTGTTTCATCAGTAAATAATGAAACATATACCTATCAATACTAACATCAGTGACCTATCTAACCATTGTTAGTACACATTGCATGTAATGTAATTCTAACGTACAATAGGTGTAATGGTGGGCTTGCATCAAACAGCCCATTGTTGACCGTGAACGGATGCGCAAGCGCAGCGGTAAACTGCACAATGCTTGGGTGCATATGCATACTATTATTATTTAAAGGTTATTTTTTTTTTAATTAAGCAACAGGTATATATACATAATACTCAGTCTTATAGTAATGGTTTTGTAATAATTCATAGACATAGGACACCTGTGTTTAAGCACAATTTCACTTTTATAGGAAAAAGGTTAAGTTTAACAACAAACTAAATGCAATAAAAAAAAATATAAATTTTGTAGTAGATATAAAAGATATATACAATCAAGTGGTTTAAGAAATGAAAGAATAATATTTATAGATAAAATAAAAATTCCTGTTTGAACGCAACAACAAATTGTTTACAATTTATTAATTAGTTCGCCGATATATTTAATGGAATAATTAAGATTGCGTTCCGCAAAAACAGAACCGGCTTCAATTGTGGCAAATCTGTTATTTAATTTAATTAAATAAACGTAAATAAATTAAATAATTACTTGCGCTTCTTCTTTTTTGTTCATCTTTGACACTTATATTATATTATTATTATATTATTAGTACTTTGAATTTGTTACTAAATTTCTTGCGTGTTGTCATGGGACTTCATTAATAATAACTCTATGTTTAAAATACTGTTATTGGCACTGTAAGGTCTATTTGTTGTAAAACTGTAATGTATATTGTATTAATATTTTGTAAATGACTGTTTGTTGTCATAAATAAATAAATAAATAAAAAATAAACAACTAAACGTCTGAACCGATTTTTATTTCTATAGAACCAATCTGAAGGTATACGCTTTCAGATAAAAAAATAAATTTCCAAATCGGTTTATAACTGACGAAATTGAAAAAAAAAAATAGAATTAAAAACCTCGTCCTTTTTTGAAGTCGGTGGGAAAATAGCAAATACCAATTCACAGACAAACACTATAACGTATAAGGCTGTATTAATACTTTAGAATTATGTTTCTACGCAGTTCAGTTGCTTTGCCATATACAGGCATCATTAAAATACCTTTAAAAGTGCTATGTTAGAACTTACATTTAGCACACGCCTGTATTTGGAAATAGCCTGAACGATGTGATTGTGTGTACCTGTAAGTAAAAATATACATATTAATTAGTTGTATATAATTGACATTGTTATTAAAAAAAAATTATTAAAAAAGCCCCATTGCTAGCAATATATCCTATCAGGTCGACCTCCCCGCGGTTCCCCCTGGAAACAATTGTGATTAATTGTTTTTAATTAGTCATGATGGGCCAACGGACCTATCTTTATCTTTTTTAAAAAATTCTATTCACGAAATTAAATTCCAGAGGAAATTTTTGAAAAAAAAAATTGGTTATTTTTTAATAGTTTTGGTATTTATTATGTATATAGTAAGTATATATTAATATATAAAACAAATAGGAAAAATTTAAAAAAATGGGTACAACCCATTTTATAATGGCAGATGGTAGGATGTTTGTTACTCTTTCACGCAAAAACCACAGAACGACTTTGAATTAAATTTGGTAAAATTTAAAATTTGGTATATTATATCCTAACTTAGCACTTTATATATTGATTCACGCAGCTAAAATGTCAGCAAGTTTTTACCGAGAAGCAGTTGTGTTTGCATGGCTGTGTTTCAGTTTGAAAGGTGGAATATGGCGAGAATTTACTGGGTACAGAGGAATAACACCTAAGTCCTCAGGAATGGCAACGCATGGGGGTATCATGTGCGAAACAGCATACTCTGTTATGTACATGGTACTGCTCATGTCTATAGGCGATGGTTACCACTTTCCATCAGGTGGGCCGTCAGCTTGTTTGCCATTCTAAGTTGTACAAAAAAAAGCAGCAGGATATAGCTAGTTTATAAAATATATCGAATATATTTTTTATTATTATTAACATTCATATTATATAAATTAATTTGTTATTCTTCACATCATCTGATATCTAGCTCTTTGATCTATAAACCGGAACACGTTTGATTTATTCTAAATAATTTAGACAGCCATGTTTATCGCACACGCGCTAGATATATTAGTCCAACATACTTATCTACGGAGTTTTAACGAGTAATCAGTAGACGGTAATTTATTGGACAGATATAGGAGATGACAATTGAAAATACACTGACAATATTCATGGCCATGTGGTCCCGGCATGGAATAGAGGATATAGACCAGAGGGAGACTTTGTACAAAAGTCGATTGCTTGGTATCTCTATCCCTTTCGTGTTTCAACCGTGAAGCAGCTGTGTTTTCATGGCTGTGTTTCGATTTGAAAGGTGGGATATGGCGTGAATTTACTGGGTACAGAGGAATAACACCTGAGTCCTCAGGAATGGCAACGCACGAGGGGTATCATGAGCGAAACAATATACTCTGTTATGTCCATGGTACTACTCATGTCTATAGGCGACGGTTACCATTTTCTATCAGGTGGGCCGTCAGCTTGTTTGCCATTCTAAGTTTTATAAAGAAAAAAAATAAGCCACCCTTCCAGTTCCCGTCATAAGGAACGACTAAGGAATGGCGAGGCATCCCTCGCCCTTCCTTAGTCGTGTCTTCTAAGTATATAGTGAGTATAGACATAAAATATGTTTTCGTTTTTAAATCGTTTAAAATAACTGCTATTTTAATTAATGAATGTATATAAATTTATAAAAGTAGTTTCAAATTCAAATTTACAAATCAAATCATTTAGGAAATTTTTATTTCAATTTTTAAAAATTAAAAAAAGCACGTTATCATTCGTTTAAAAAAAATTTACAACAAAAATCAAATTAGTCTGACTATATTTTAATATTTTTTGTCTATATAATTGTAAGTTTTAATAACTAATTTAAAATTGTTTAGGAGTTGGCACTACCCTTATATTGACAAAAGTGGAAAAAAACTATGCTGGTCGCATAGATATTTTAGAAGAATCGACACAAAAAATAAATTAATATTCATTGTAATGTATAATTATTTTTAGTATTTCTCTATCTAAAATATCATAGATTAAATTTATTATTGTAAAATTTATTGAAAAATCTAGTTTAAACTGGTAATAATTCAGCTAGGTATGTTTGCAATATCGATTTACAGATATCTATGTTCAGATATAGTAATTACTGATAACTGAAACGAGGCTTTATCATACTGTATGTCCAATAAATTCTAGTATACGGTATTGATAACATAATCGGTTTTTTTTTTATTAAAAATTTAGACAAAGACTTCAATAACAGAATAAATATTTGAATTTTATTGTTTCGTGTCATTTTTATCTTCAACACTAAAGGAGGTTTTATGTTATAAATTTGATTAGTCTGCGACAGAAGAAGAAATATATTTTCTTTATTTTTTTTTAGAGGGTAATTTGATAATAGTTTCTAATTATTTGTTGAATGTCTATTCATAGTGTCGACAAAATTTTTTTTTTTTTATTTTAATTATATACAAAATAATAAGGCAGTATACAGATTACAGATTGCAGAAAGAATTATATAAATCCATTCATTTTGAAAAGCAAAGATAACGTGTACAAAAAGTACATGAGAAATGGAAACTATTCCGTTTTCTAATCAGTAAAAAACACCTAGAGATGACACTAAAAGTCTGTAAAGATAAACACTCTTTATTATAACTGATTTATCCTTGACACACTGGTAGGCTCGCCTCTACTTCGCTGGATTCCAATAAAATTGGCATTATCTGGGAGTGGCAAAGTCGTCACAACCAGCAACAGTTGACAATCAACCCAGTTTTATACCACAAATTACAGTCGTACTAGTAAATTTACCTTATAAATATTTGTCTTTGAAGCATTTCAGAAAGGATAAGAGAATAATAATTCAGACAGGATAAGACATACGAGTTATCTTACATGATACCTTTAACAGATTTAAAATCGACTATTGCCATAGTGCGTTTTTCAAGGCACTTTCTTCTACGCACAACCACTCTTTGGAATCAACTTACAGCAGCAGTATTTCCAAACCGATACGACAACATAACCTTCAAGAAAAGAGCATATTCCTTTTTTAAAAGCCGGCAACACACCTGCAATGCCGTTAGTGTTGTGGGTGATCATGGGCGGCGGTAGTCACTTACCATCAGGTGAACAGTATGCTCGTTGGCCCCCAGTGTTGTAAAAAAAAGACATGAATAGCATAGACAACAAAGAACGCACTAATATCTATAGTATCTGTAACTGTTTAGATTGATGTCTTACAAGTATTCTACATAGTCTCAATAAATTTAAAAAATGTCTATGGTACCCCTTATGCATTGCCATTCCTGAAAACTATGATATTATGCGTCCATACTCTGTAATTTCACTTCCATATCCCACCCTTCAAATCGCAATACAGCCATGCAATCACATTTACTTCACTACAGAATATTGTATGGGACACAATATCTATAATAAAGCGGAAGAGTTTGTTTGTCTGAACGCGCTACTCTCTAAAACTGCGAGTTAGATATGGAAGAATCTTTTTACATTTGATAGCTTATTTACTGAAAAAAGTTATAACCGTGGACAAAGCAGCGGGATACATCTAGTTTAAATATAATCTTTGATGTTTTTATAATTATAATATATATATATATATATATATATATATATATATATATATATATAAATTATAGGATACAAAAGCGTAAAACTTTAGTCCTCAGACATTATGGACGACACAGTATACTCTATTATTATAATGTTTATACCTATAGGTGACAGTCATCACTTTCCATTAGACGGACATTAGACAGTTTATGCTATTATAAATTACATAAAGAAACTTCTTAGCTCAAACAATATTAAAACATTATAAAAAATCAACCACGACAACCTTGTCTATCTACTTGATAATGATTATCTCGATCTACATTTAGAAATCCTGTACAAATACATTGTTGAACGTTATTCTAGTATTTACCAGTCTATCCATTGTTAGTTCCAATGACGATAGCAATCCATCGACTTCGCACACGTGCTGTTTAAGTACTGTTGCGGACGGAAATAACTGTATGTTAGTATTAGGGGCCACAATGTTGTGCGAAAAACCGATAGGTTTTTTAATGTTTTTTTTTTTATTAAATTTAGAATGGCAAACAAGCTAACGGTCTACTTGATAGAAAGTAGTAACCATTGCCTAAAGACATGAACAGCAGTGTGGATGTGTGTTACCATTTTAACCGAAATACAGCGATCCAAACAACACTGTTTCATTACAGAAACAGAGGTCTACCTCTCTTTTCCAAAAGAATTACCCGTGCTGACAACTTTTATACAAAGTTTCCCTCTGGTAAATGAAAATTTATTAATAGTCCCATCTGCACTATTGGTTTACCCAATTAAAAGGGACATTAAGCCCCTTCGGTATGTGACAAGTGAATGTATCAACAGATACATTATCGCCACTGCATCTGTGAGATAGCAATATCCTTCCTTTCAATCTTTGACATGCGTACGCTATTGAAAACGAATCTATCGGTAAATTCGTTTATCAATTGTCTAAAGAGGCCAAATTGGATCCATTATGATAAATTCATCAAGGATTAAACATGATAGTCGACCTAACGATATATAACCAGTAGTGGCGCAAGTCCTTGTTACTAACAATCCTCACCGCAAATACATTATTTATATAACAGGTATGAGTATAATAAATAAATTATGTCCCAAATTAACATTTATTAATCCTAATTCCACTAAACATTAAAATAACCATAAAATAGGACCTTATCGTTGCAACACAAATGCCTAAGTGAGTACCAACAAAATGTTTTGCAATTTCAACTTTAGAATACAATGTAACGTTTTATCCAGTTACTATAAATATGTTGAGAACCATTGTTGATATTGTTAGTGCCGATAATAACAATCTAAGTGTAATACTGAAAATATCGAAGCAAATATTAAACAAAAAACAGGCAGTTCCATTATAACAAAATGCATAACCAATGTGAGAACAAATTTTATCTATTGTAAAAATAATTATCAATTTGTTTCTCTTACAATAGTGCTTTTACTTTTTTTTAATTTCACTAAAGTATTTTTTATTTTGTTGACCAAATAAGCGATGTGCTGAAGAAGGGCCAAATTAAAA